GGGCCAGGAGCCCACCAAAACGGCCCAATATGGCTAGAAGATTGCCCATGGCGGCCCAAGAGGCTCCCAAGAGGCCTCCAAAACGGCGCGGGAGGCCTCCTAGAGGGCCTCCAGGAAACCCGACTATGCCCGACTGGTTGAATTCACTCAAGTTTCTTTGAAGGTTTTTGGCGGTCGCGTCTCTTCGGCCTTCCGATGGCCCGACACGGCCCAAACGCCCCCAACGATCGCCCAAGAGGCCTCCAAGGTGGCCCCAAAACGGCCCAAGAGACCCCCAAGACGGCCCCAAGAGGGCCCCCAGGCGACCCAAGAGGCCTCCAAGACGCTCGAGATGCCCTCCAAGACGGCCCAGGAGCACCTAAGGGGCGTTCAGGTCGGCCCAAAGAGGCCCCCAATGACGGCTTCCGACGGGATCGGACGGGTCAGGAATGCCCTGAGAGGGCCAACGAGGCCCCAGAGAAACCTCCACAGGCCCCCAGGAGGCCCAAGGAGGCCCTCAAGATGCCTCCAAGGGGCTCCCAGGAAACTCCCAAGAGCCCGTAGAGTGCCCCCACAGGCTCCCAAGATGCATCCTCCTCCTCCTCCTCCTCCTCCTCCTCCTCCTCCTCCTCCTCCTCCTCCTCTTCCAGTTGTTCCCCGAATCGGCGTGGGAAGCGTTCGGGGGACGCGTGGGGAAGCGTGAGGTATGGCAAGGGCCGTCTCGAGGCTACCCTAGGGACCGCCTAGAGCGCATATTGAACCATCTTGGAGGCATATCGGGGCCATCTTGCCCGTCTCGGAGTGCACCTTGGCCATCTTGGAGGCATCTTGGAGGCCATATTGGGCCATCGTGGCCGTCTTGGGGTTACTGTTCCATCTAATGTTGCGCCTTCTGGGTGGCCCGCGGGGCGGGCCGAAGCCCCCCGGGAGAGCTCATTTGGAAAACAACAGAACCAAGTCAGCGCGCGAACACCTGGCCCGATAGCTTGACCAGGCTCTAGTCCAGATGTCGGCCACGCAGGAGCTTCCACAAGGGCAGAGGGAGAGGGGCGGTGGTGATTCGCCGTAGGCGTCTTCGATAGTAAAGGGGGGTTCGCGAATCCGCGCATGCAGCTGTCCCTGCCGGCAGCAGATGTCGCACCCCTCCTTTCCCAAACCCCGCAGTTTTCACCTCTCCCAGTGTTTAGGATCGTCGCAAGAGTTTTTTTTTACACTTTTGCTTTTTTCGGTGGGGTCGGGGCTTCAGTTGACGCTGGGGGCAGTGTGCGCGGCTCGCAACATAGCAACGCCATTCAGCGCGCGCGGGGGCGCACGCGGGCACTCAGAAGCGCGCGGCGACTGGGGGAGACGCCCGCAAGCGGCCATGCGAGACCACGGGCGCTCACAGGCACGCGGAAGCACTGGCAAGCGCTCCCGCGTGTTTACATCTTCCCAAAAAGGCTGGCGAGACCTTCCACGCGCACCCACGAGCACCCGCAACTGATCACGAAGCGCCCGCGGGCGGTCGCAGTCGCGGGCACGCGCCCAAAGGCGGCCACACAAGCGCAGAAACGCCCGCCGAAACCTTCCCCATATGCAATGCTCCGCAAGCACTCGGAGGCCTCCGCCCAGCGTCGCGACCAGGGGGCCACGTAGTGAGTCGGGCGAATGTTTCTCAGCCTTGCGGGTCGCCCTCGGCGTCCCTGCGCGCGCTGGCAATGGGCGTTTTTTACAGACAGCTTCCGGAGGCCCATCGACCCCCAACGCATATTGAACTGCTGATGAGGGGGCCTGAGCGTGTTCCAACATTTACAAGAACGTTAGGTCGCAGAGGGGGGCCATGGCCACAGACGGCCAACAATAGATGCTTGGGCCTGTGAGTTAACATATACTATGCATGGGCAAGTAAAAAATACATGACGCATACGCCGGTATAGAGAAATAAACATGTATGGGCGGGCGTACATAACGATATGCACGGACCAGTGTAGCACGACAGCTGTGTACAGGTGTATCCAGAATGTGGCGACA